AGTTTTCCAGAATCTGGACAGAATCATCTTGTCAGTTGATCTTGTGTTCCTCTGCTTTAGAAGGGATCTCTTTTCTGTTCAGATGGAAATAGCTTGTTTTCAACTGGATGATGTTAGATTGCATCAGCTACCACACCAATCAGTAATTTGACAGTTGTTGGCTATTAGGTAATTGGCCTGTAGTTGCCTAATGTTGCCTCTTTTGCTGGATCTTTCATTTTGCCAGATATTAGCTACTCTTCCATATCAGCTCCTTGCAGTATGTTGTTAAGCTGCTTGACAACAAGTACATGTAAACTGGTCAGATGCTATCAACCAAAATCCATGAAGCTTATCCTCAACTGCTGCTGACTAATTCTTGATCTTCCTTGTCCTTTTCTCCACCATTTCATCTGTTACAAGTTCTTTCATTTTATCTTTTTTATTCTTACCCACCACCTTTAACGAAACTGCATTTTTGTTATATTTCTTATATCTTCATCCAGAACTGCCCTGTTTCTTCCTTGTCAGGTACTGCATTCACTGCAGTCTCTCCATTGATAGATTAATAGAAATCCTTCTGTATGGATTGAAATTGGAGATTTTGTCTATAATTTGCAATTTGAGCTTCCCATCTGCTAATCTTCTTGATTATAACTGTTATTTGCTCCTTTATTATTTCCAGTGCTTCCTTGATCTTCCTTGTTTCTAAGTGGCATTTCTTGATTAGGTATTTGATGGTTTTCTTTTTTTTAAATTTATTTTCATTCATCTGTTCTAGTTTACTTGAATCTTATCAGTTTGCTAATCTTATTTTCCAGCCTGATCTTACATTTTGGTGGGGCACTGTTTGCCCTTTTTCTCTGTGGATTTTGCACCCCAGATATTCAATGATAACTGGAGTTTTGCTGTATATATTAGTTGGATTGTTTTTTGCAATGAGCTAGTGCTTAAATTTGCTATTACATTATTTGACATCATTTAGTACTTGTGCTAGCTATTTCTTTGGAAAAAGCTTCAATGCAGGCAACGTTACTGTTGTTTTGTGCTGTTCTAGATGCTTAATATTAATAACCAATATTAATTATTGTATTTTTAAAAGAAAATTTGATCAAAAATTTATTTCAGAATGAGTAGATCAATATGTATTCTTTTAAACTATGTGATTTCTTGATTGTACAAAAAGTTTTTAGGTTGAAAACTCTTTTTTTTAAAAAAAATACTTTATAAAAAAAATACTCCTCAAAGTGTAGAATTTCAGCTAATAATTTCTGCTGAGCTTTCGAGCCTGAATAATTCATTGTTCCATAAATAATNGGCACTTTCTTGCCTTGAAGAACTGAGGGTTGGGGCTGAGAGGGACCATACCTGGAATGAATTGGATTGGGACGTCCTTGGGAAATTAAAAAAACCCCAGAGGATGGGAATGCCACGATAAATGATTTTTATTGTTGCAACAAAAAAAATAACCCACAAACAAACTAGCCCTATACAGATACTTCCCCAGAGCATGATTTGAAGGATAATTTAAACTGAAATGAAGTTCAATTAATCTTTTAGTCTGGTTGCCTAGAAACCTATTTATAGATATGTCAAAGTGTAATTTAGTGTAAGATATACACATCTCTATCTTGAAATGGATCAAGTGTGTGACTTTGTGTGATGTGAATGTGAACTAATCAGGAGAAACTGAATTGTAACATACTATCTTAGCATTATCAGAATGTAGATAAATGATATGTCTTGATAATTTTTGCATAAAAACTATTTTTATTAGTTACTTCAGGCATATGTGGTTCTCCATCGATCCTCAATGGCGACATAGAGCCTTTGCAACCTCAGTATGAAACTGGAAAAACAGTTGTCATAACTTGCAATCGGAACTATTCTTTTATTGATGACACCATAATAATGACTATACAGTGTCAAGGTTATAATCTCTGGCATCCTCCTGCACAATTATGTTTATGTAAGTATAAATCTAGGTGTGAAGTGGTCTCTTCTATTGCTTTTAATGCTTTAATGTAGACAAAGGTGGCTATATATGAGAAATATGTTTTAAATATTATCAGTTTCCTTAAAGTGAATATTGACTGGTTCAGTAAGTACTTATTAAATTCCTTATAACACATATAAGAATGAATTTCTAAATACTATACCGAGGCTTGACTGGAAATCATAGACTTTTTGAAATAATCTAAAAATGAACATGATACAGTGGTACCATGATATTCATCTGTAATTGGTTCAAAGAGGTGCGATAAGTACCAAAAATGATGAGTACCAAACATTTTTTCCTATAACGATTAATGTAGTTAGTCACATGACAGCAGACACTGACAAGTTCTAGCTTGTGCATTCAGTACAGACAAACAATGAATAATAGGACAACATTTTCATATCAAGATCTGTTGAGTACCAAATTTGATAAATTTCAAAGCAATTGAGTATCAAAGTTCCACTGTACAGTTTGGATTAGAAAAAATGTATAGAAAAAATGAAAATTATGCTACAACCATAAAATAAGAGGTTAATTTAGATTGAAACTTTTTATTTATTATTATTTATTATTAATTTTTTTATTTACAAACATGTACAATACATACACACAAAACTTAAACGTACACCACATTTACACAATACAATACGAACAGGAGCTTTCTGTTCTTTCTAATAGCAATTGCCAATTGATANAAAATATGGTATTTAATACTTTGTGTATGTTTTGTATGATACTGATTCTAAGCACTCTAGAAAGATGTTAATTGACTGTTTGGGGCAGTCAATTAAAATATGCCAGGAGCAATTATGAACTTTTCATTGTGACCTTAAATAGTTTTATTCTGGATTATACAGAATGAATTCTGTAGAGTGCATTACATAACACACCTTATGATAGGTACATTTTCATAGCATTTTAATGTTAAATATTGTTATTGTTTTTTTCCTCCTAGTATATTACTCCATTTATTTTGGAGTTTTCTGTCTGTAGTTTAATCTTTGCTTTTAGAGAAAACTATAATTAAATAAAGAAAAAGGTATTTATTTGGCTTTAATAGGTTCTTTGGCTTGTATCCTGTTGCTTTGGTGGAGTGTTGTGGATTGTTTTTACCCAAATAATGGTGAGTACTTTATACATTTACATTCATTGCTTATACTGAATAAGTAGTTAAAATGTTTCCAGCCCAATTCTATGAGCCTTTCAACAGAAGCTCCTAGGAATTTGTATCTTAATTCATACGGAAAACCAGCTAATTCCTATTTGATTTTTTCAAATCTTTGTCTTAGCCTTCAAGAAACTTCTCGTAATTATCATTGGGAATTTGATAACCTTCTCTTTATACATACCTCAGCAATAATAATTTTCAATGCAATTTTGTATCTAATTCTTTTTTATACATAAATATTTTTAGTAGTTGGTTTTCCTTCAGCTAAATATGAATCCACATTTAGCTTAAAATGCAGAAATAAAACAAGCAAGGTGTGATTTTCCCATATAATGCTTACAAATGTAAATTTTGGTGGGGGGAATAAATGAAGTTTAACTGTCATGATAGATTCCAGTTATTTACTAATGAAATAAAGAATATAGGTTGAGAATGCTCATAAGGAATGGCAGTCACAATTTGAGATATCAAATATCAATATGTAACATATACACTGAGAGAAATATTTTATGAGGTTTTGCCATTCCCATCAGCAGCGTTCCATCAATGCTCATTCTCTTTTTAGTTTAACACTGGACAACCCATGACCCANTTTTTAAAAAAAATACTTTATAAAAAAAATACTCCTCAAAGTGTAGAATTTCAGCTAATAATTTCTGCTGAGCTTTCGAGCCTGAATAATTCATTGTTCCATAAATAATCTGTATGTTCATTTTGTAAGACATTCACTTACCAGAATAATTTTTCTTTTTCTTTTTAGGTAACTTCATCAAACTAGTTATATGTGGTATGTAATTTCGAAAATGAAAATATAAATCTTAGCACAGTTCAATGCTGTTTTGAAAAATCTTCAATACGTTTTTTGGGAAATATCATCTACTTTATTGGATAGAACTACTTCTTCCATTCATTTTAACCCAGATGTCTCAATAGTATAACCAAGCTTCCTCTCTTGATCTTCTGTGCAGATATGGATAAACACAGAACACAATTTTGTCTCTATTGTTTCAATTCACAAGATGGTAACAAACATGTATAGCTTGGGGTTTGCCTTCATGGTGTGAGAGTTCTCTGTGATTGGGTTTTGGATACAGTCATTTCATTACTTTGTCATATAATATTGCAGTAGGAATTCTGAAGGAAGTGTTTTTGATGAAGGAGTTACATATCCTTTTGTATACCAGCCCTGTACATGCTTGTCTTGTATGATGCATGGGAGGCTGGTATTTTTTGCAAGTGATTGATCCTTGATGCTGGTAGATAATTTATTTGATAAGATGGTGCTTTTGTCTTATTTGCATTTTGATTGCATCCTTTGAGATTGGTGGAGTCAATAATTATATGAGATGGTTCATTAGGAAGGTGTTGTTCTTTTCCCATGATTGTTTCACTGTGGATGGTTATCAGTTATTAGTATGTGTACATTTGCTTGCTTGCTTACCTGTTATATTTGCAATATGGTATGTGGGTTATAATTCCCTAGGACTGCCTGATACTAGATTTAAAATTCTTTTGAAATTTTCAATCTGGCTTGTTCCAAGATTTCCATGTTTCCCAATTGGTTAAACATGTGGCTGTTTGAGTGGAAATTAATGAAGTCATATTGTATTTTTTAAATCACTAGTTGGCATTTGTGAATGTTTTATTAACTTCCTGCCACTCATTGTAGTGATCTTTTCCTTGCAGTCCTGTATTCTTCCATTGGTAATAGGTCTTTGGGTTTACGTAATATGCTTTTCAAGGAACATTTTTATTTGTATAAGTTATTCCAAACAGTTGGAATAGCCTGTTTCTGGTCTCTGATATGAATTTCTTCAAAACTCATGCATCAGAGAAACTATGTGGCAAAGTAATGAGACACCTCATTACTACAACCCAAAATCAAAATCAAAACTTGAAGAATTCCTCCAGTGCAACATGCTTGTTTCTTTTATAAAAGTTGGAATGATCTGTCCGTGGAGATCCGGACTGTCACCACCCTTCTGGCTTTCCGCAAAGCCACTAAGACCTGGCTGTTCCGGCAGGCCTGGGGCTGATGAGTTCCCGGCCCCACTTAAATGGTTGCGACTGCTGCTCTGTTTTTAACTTGCTTGTCTTGTCTTTTGTTTGTATCCCCCCCTCCCCCCGCCTGTTAGCCGCCCGGAATCCCTCGGGATAGGGCGGCATACAAATGGAATAAATGAAATGAAATGTATTCGTCAATTGCTGTATTTTATCAGAGACTGATCCAACAATGTTTCAAATATATCTCTTCAATCAAATCTGCATTCCTGAATAATAATTTGGTTTGTTTCCAGTACTCTGAGCATTAATATATAAAGAATGAAGGCTGTAAAGTTCTGAATTAAGTTTCATATTGATTGTTCAAATGATTTAATTGTCCACAGCATAGTGAATTTCTGCAATTAACAGGTATTAGGGCTGGGATAGTTTCCACATAATATTTTAGCTGTAAAGATTTAATTAAAGAATGGAGTAACCACTTTTTAAATCACATATTAATTTTCTTGATTTTAGTTATTTTTACTAAGACACTGTAATTTTACTATGGCACTTTGTATTTTCTTTTCTTTTCAGGGTGTTCATTACCTTTTTGGATTTTGGCAGTCACAATGTTTTACCGGAAATATATAGAAGAAAGGTAGGACTTGTGTTAATTTCCTTATTTTTGTTTTTATTTGTTTTATATGGACACTAAAATATTTTTAGATATTAAAAAATGCAATATTGGTGTAAATGCCATTCATGTATGATATACATATATTGTAGTTCCATGGTGGGGAAAAAAGGAAGCTAAGTGGTAGGCAGATTCTGCTGTTTTGTGTTTGTATCAGTCTATGCGTGTTCCTTCAAAAATTGCTTCTAAAACTTTTTTTTTGCATTGATGTGTATTTTTGTTAAAGAATAAAAGCTACATATATATCTATGTCTTATCATGAATTCAGGAATGGTAGTAGGAATGGAGATGCTCATGTGATTAGTTAATGCTGAGTTAATTTGCCAGCCCACATTTGAAGCTTGAGTTCTGTTGAATGTCAGGCACAGCTCCCATCGCTTCAGCTCCTGCCCACCTAGCAGTTTGAAAGCCTGCAAATGTGAATAAATAGGTAACAGTTCGGTGGGCTAATTAATGGTAACATGACAAGAACCTACAATTAGGTATCCTGGACAACGATGATGTCACCAGCTTTCATCATGGAAGCATATACCGGAGTATTCGGTATTCGGAGTATGACACACTTTTTTCCCTCAAAAAAGAGGCTTAAAATCTGGGTGCGTCTTATACATCGCATAAAGCATTTTTTGCCTCCTGCAGCCTTGCCCCCTTCACCAAAATGGCCGTGCATACCCTTATGGAGGCTTTCAGAGAGCTGTTGGGGGCTGGGGAGGGCAGAAATGAACAAAAAATGTCCCCAGCAGCACTCTATAAGCCTTCATAAGGTTATGCATGCAATTTTTTTTTGACAAAACAGGCTGGTTTTAACAAGCAAACAGGCTGGTTTTTGCTCATTCTTGTCCCTCCCCCCCCCGGAGCACTCTGCAAGCCCCCGAAGGCTATTCATGCCTTTTATTTGAAAAAAAAACAGGCCCGTTTTTGCGAAAAACAGGCTGTTTTGGAAAGGTTTGCAGAGTGCAAAAACTATTTTTTCATTTCGGAAAGCTCATTAGTTAGAGTGATTGATGAGAATTACATTGATCAAATGCTGTGCCAGCAGAAACAAGTCTTGGGTGCTGCAGGTTGTCAGTGATTTCCTTCTCCAGCATATGGATAAATACACCTGGAAACATCTACCTACCTACTCTCTCTCTCCCTACCTACTGACTGTATTTCTGTGTCTCCCTATATCTACCTACCTACTCTCTTTCCCTACCTGCCTATGTATTTTTCTCTCTCTCTCTCTCCATCTACCTACCTACCAGTGGTGGGTTTCAAATTCTGTTCCAACTGGTACAGTTGGAACGGGGCCCGTGGCATCCTCATGGAGGCGTGCAGTGTACGTGCGCATGTGGGCAGTGCACACATGTGTCTTAGCTCCTCTGCAATGCTCCAGCTCCCCATGGAGCATCGCGCAGGTGTTGTATGTGCGCAGAAGCCTTTAAATACCGGTAAGGAGTTCGGGTGGGCTCTCCGGAGTATTGTATCGGAACGGTATTCAGTGCTCTGGGTTGGCTCCGGTACACGCATACCTGGGCGTACCGCCTGCAACCCACCACTGCTACCTACCTACCTACTCTCTCTCCCTACCTACCTACTGCATTTCTCTTACTCTCTATCCATCTATCTACCTCTCTCCCACTCCCTACCTACTGTATTTCTCTCTCTCTCCTTCTCTATCCCTCTATCTACCTACCAACGTTTTTAAAAATTTGCCTCTTCAAAATCTTGGCGCGTCTTATACGCCAAAAAATACGGTAGGTGCTTTCTTCCTGGAAGTAGTAGTAGTAGGGTTGGTACAGATTGAAGCAAGATTCACAAACATTATTATTGGAAAACTTGTTATAAGTTACAAAAGAAAAAATTAGCTATCACTCTCTAATATATAGTTGGTATGTTTATCTTGTGTCTACTATTTCTTCTGGCTTTCATAATTTTCTAAATACTATTCTGTTTTCCATATTAACCTTTACTTTGAAATATTTTATTCTTCTTCTTACAGGTTCGTTCTCTGATATCCTTAATTTTTTTTATAATTTACAATCTTCTGCTCTAGCTTTAGATGTGTTTTAACATTTTAATGTTCCTAATTCCAAACCCAACCAATTCCCTTTCCCTCAGTTGTCTTTATTGCTTTATTGCTATTATCAATTGTTTCAATGGCTTACAATCAAAGCAATGCAACAGTTTAAATAAATAACAATGATGCAAAAGCATCTAAAACTCCATTATAAAAAGTTCATAAAATTCATAATCAAAATAATCATATCTAATAGTGCTCAATACAACCTGAATCAATAGGGGTCAAACTCATCTCTGGGGGTGAGGATGATATACCACATATGGTAGGGCATTCCTCTGATGTGTATTCCCCATTGTGTCAGGCCTGCTAGCCACCTTTTCTTTTTTGGACTTCAGGCCTGCCATACTTTTTATTATTCTACTATTCGTTTTCTATTGTGGAAAAATGTGAGGGGAGATTATATGGAGTTGGGTGATATGTAGCCATAACAACATTCTTTCTAGAAAGTCAAGGTCATCCTTTATCTCTGCACCTGGCCAGAACTGGATGGGCGGAAGCTGCCAGCATGGCAGTGAGAGATTGGACCATGTGATGGACTTGTGGGTAGGGGGGGCAGGATCTTAAACTTTCAACTGGGTGGGTAAACATAGAAGCTTTCAGATTTGGGTTTTCCCAGATGTGCCAATATGGCTCTTAATAAATTGGAACTTTGAGGAATCTTTTGCCTTGGACTCTGATTTACTTTTGGATGCTATTTGGAACCCTGACACATTGTTCCAGCTTATTCTCTTGTAACCTCTTCTCCAATGAATATAAATACAAACTTTAATTGCCTTCTCTTACCAATGTCTTACTGACTGACATTTCTTTTCCTTAACAGGTGAACAAGAGAACGTCAGAGAAGAATGAAAAGGAAGTGCAGACACAGCACCATAATAGTGGCTTGGCTGCCTGGGGCATGAGTACATTTGTTCCAACATGAGAAAACTGAAAGTTGCATGAGCAATGACATATTCTGCAGTATGTTTAGCGAGAGTTTCCAACATCATCTCTATAGTGAAAGAGCTCATCATCAGCAAGAACTGTCAGGTAGATTTAACTTATTTTTTTTTCATTCTTTTGGTCCTTAGTTGTGTAATAGGCTG